GGCAGTGAACGGGGATGCCCGGGGAGCCCTAGACCTCTTCTACAGGATGGTAGGGGGTGGGGTCCACCCCAACGAGGTCACCCTGCTAGCCGTGCTGAGCGCGTGCGCACACGGGGGGCTGGTGAATGAGGGGAAGGGTATATTTGCAGAGATGGAGAGGGTTTATGGGGTGGGTCCCACAGCGGAGCACTGCAGCTGCATGGTCGACCTTCTGGGGCGGGCGGGGAGGCTGGTGGAGGCAGTGGAGCTGATTGGGGGCATGCAAGGCACTGGGCCGTGGAGTGCGCTGCTTGGGGCATGCGCTGTCCACAGGGATTACGAGCTTGGGAAGGTGGTGGGGAATCACCTGATGAGGGTGCAGCCATGCCAGGGTGGGAGGTACGCTCTCCTGGCCAACCTGTGCTCGGGGAGCGGTGATTGGAAGGGGGCCGCAGGGGTGAGGAAGAAGATGAGGGAGGCTGGAGGAGGTAAGGCTCGGGGGTGCAGCTGGATCGAAATGGGGGGCATTGTCCGAGAGTTTTATGCATTCGGGGAGTCGGGTGAGGGGAATGTACATGTGTACACAATCGTCCATCACCTTATGGAACATATGAAGCAGCCGCCTTTTATTTTCGAAGATGATTTTTTCGAGATTTAAGCTTTTTTCCTGCCTGTGGGAAGTTGCCGATAAGCTAGATGCCGCATTTGTGAAGGACGAGGTCTTTCATTTTTGGGGAATTTCTAATACATCATTTGGCCCTCTTTATTCGTTTAATAGTCCATTTGAAATACTTCGATTATGTAAATTTTGACCGGTAAATTTTAAAAGCCACACCTCTCTGAAACCGTTTCAAACAGTTTTCCTCTAAATCATTCTAGATTTGTCCTCCTTAAATTTTATCTCCTACATACCAACAGCCTTTCACTGAAACTTTCTAATCTTCTTAAATTTTATCTCTATTTAGGGGATTCAATTGGAACTTCTAAATTTTTTTTAAAATTTTTTAGAGTGAGTGACTTTGGTGGACTTTGTGAAATTTTTAATGATTTTTGTGGACATCACGAGAGTTTAATAAAGGGAGATTTGTATCTCTCCTACAAGATCCGAAGAATATTGCAACAATACAACCCAAATAAAATTAATTGCGTTTTTACCTAAAAGATAATATTTAACTACACTAATGCATAATTCAATTACCAAGTCAATCCAACTTCTCTCTCGCATGATTTGCGTCCAGTTGCCTAAATCAATAGAAAAAAAAAGTTTTTTTTAATATGGAATGAATATCGGAAACTCCGACAAGTTACCTTACTTGTATATATCTCTTGTGTGTTTCACGTCCTGCGAGACTGCCTTATCCAAAACATAATCAATCCTGATGGAAAAATAAACCCAATCGGTAATCAAATCCTAAAGCAAACCACCAAATGTGACATCATCACATGAAGATAAAAAGGACATACTCACCACAAAGTATATGTATTCCCCAATACACCACAAAAAATGTTTTTAATTCAGTTATCATGTTAATTTTATATATATTTCTTTTTATTTTTTTTACTTATTTTTATTCCTACAATTTGTAGGATAAGTAAAAATAAATCATACATATACACAACAAATCCAACTAAAAAAAAGGATAAAAGCATATCAGTGTTAATGAATATTTATAGTATATGTTGTGTTTATACTCCGTATTGTCCGTATATTTATCTAACCATAATTGTACTGTTGAATTTTGTTTATACATTTTGTTTATATTTTCTATTTAATTTTATACCTAAAAATTATACAACATCGATATGTAACAATAAATCATACATATACATAACAAATCCAAAAAAAAAGCATAAAATCATACCAGTGTTAATAAATAATTTTAGTATATGTCGCATTTATACCTTGTATATTTTCAGTATATTTATCTAACCACATTTTCAGTATATTATATTTTTAGTATATTTTGAGTATATGTCGCGTTTATACCCCATATATCTAACGTATCCATTAAATCATCTAATATACCAACAATAAATTGCCTGTAAAGCTGAAGATATACTGTCTATTAATTCAACCGCCCGTAAATTGAAAATATACTGTCTATAAACTCAACATATACTTCGATTTGAAATTTCCTATATATGCTTGATGTACTGTTCTTGCAAAATCGTTCAATCTTTCACCTCCTTCACCGGTGATATAGAAGTCGGCGGTGTCGGAACCAAGACCGCCAGCCCCTCCAACATTGCAACAATACAACCCAAATAAAATTAATTGCGTTTTTACCTAAAAGATAATACTTAACTACATTAATGCATAATTCAATTACCAAGCCAATCCAACTTCTCTCTCGCATGATTTGCGTCCAATTGCCTAAATAAATGGAAAAAAAATATATTTTTTTTAATATTGAATGAATATCGGAAACTCCATCAAGTTACCTTACTTGTATATATCTCTTGTGTGTTTCACGTCCTGCGAGACTGCCTTATCCAAAACATAATCAATCCTAATGGAAAAATAAACCCAGTCGGTAATTAAATCCTAAAGCAAACCACCCAATGTGACATCACCACGTGAAGATAAAAAGGACATACTCACCACAAAGTATATGTATTCCCCAATACACCACAAAAAATGTTTTTAATTCAGTTATCATGTTAATTTTATATATATTTCTTTTTATTTTTTTTACTTATTTTTATTCCTACAATTTGTAGGATAAGTAAAAATAAATGATACATATACACAACAAATCCAACAACAAAAAAAGCATAAAAGCATATAAGTGTTAATGAATATTTATAGTATATGTTGTGTTTATACTCCGTATTGTCCGTATATTTATCTAACCATAATTGTACTGTTTGAATTTTGTTTATACATTTTGTTTATATTTTCTATTTAATTTTATACCTAAAAATTATACAACATCGATATGTAAAAATAAATCATACATATACATAACAAATACAAAAAAAAAGCATAAAATCATACCAGTGTTAATAAATATTTTTAGTATATGTCGCGTTTATACCCCGTATATTTTCAGTATATTTATCTAACCACATTTTCAGTATATTATATTTTCAGTATATTTTGAGTATATGTCGCGTTTATACCCCATATATCTAGCGTATCCATTAAATCGTCTAATATACCAACAATAAACTGCTTGTAAAGCTGAAGATACATTGTCTATAAATTCAACCGCCTGTAAATTGAAAATATACTATCTATAAACTCAACATATACTTCCATTCGAAATTTCCTATATATGCTTGATGTATTGTTCTTGCAAAATCGTTCAATCTTGCACCTCCTTCACCGGTGATATAGAAGTCGGCGTTGTCGGAACCAAGACCGCCAGCCCCTCCAACATCACCCTCACCAACTGACGCTCGCGTCAAGCCACTCGTGCCAAAATGGTAGAAAACTTCAGATGGCAAAACCCCCAATTGCAGTGGAAAACGTGAAGTCCTCGATCCACATTTCCCGCACATTTCCTAGCACTATATTGCAGTGGCGATTGAAGGCCCTCACATGGCCCAAAAGCTTTTTGTTATTGCGGCTGTTGATGAGGACATGTGTGTTACTTTTAACACTCATCATCATCACAGATAATAATAGTCATGTGTTGAACTTTTTTTCTCATTCTTCCCATAGACATATTCTGTTAATATGCAATCTCTGTATAACACCCCACTTTGATTTTAAAGAAATTCCGAACTTTCTAAATATAAGTGTAAAATTTTCAAAATTATTTTCGAAAATTCAATGGGTGTTAAACAACATTTTTCATAACCCAAGTCTTATCTGGGATCACGGGGATTCATTACCCGGTTTTCACAAACGGTTTTCATTAACCGAAACACATCACAAGACATAATACTCAACATGCATATATCATCAACCATAATACCCAACAATCCGGGTTCCACAAATTTTTCCAAAACAACAAACCATAGGTTTTTGGAAAATATCATAATCAAGTCCCAACATAATGGTTCATAAAACTTTATTCGTACAAAAGCGATAAACAAATAAAAACAACCGACCAACTCGTCTCTTCTCGTCACCCAGCTCCTACTTAACCTGCATCGATAAAGAGCAGGTGGGGATGAGCACTAGATGAAAAGCGTGCTCACCACTATGCACATAAATAATACATGTTAAGATGGTATGGTCGCAGTATGAATATAAATCAATCATCATCATGTCTCATCTCCTAATCTCAACAATAACTCACTCATGTGCACATCTATCATTAGTCGCGGAAAGAGGATGCATAAACTCTAACGACAGGAGTGCGTGCCACTGTAACAGACACGGCCTTTCATTAGGTCTTAAGGAGACTTGCCTCGCAAGGGCAACCGTACCATAACTCGACGGGGACAACCGTATCGACGGCCGTAACAGCTCACATCAGTAGGCCACATGGTTCACATTCATACATAGGTCATACCAACCAAACACTTAAACACACGTATGGCATAGATAACTTTATAAGTAAAACCCACCTGGTATACTGAAATATCTGGCAAGTGCTCGAAACTGAAGTAGCTGTCGGAGGCTCGACTCTTCTTAAGCTACAAAAATATATAAGCAAATAAATGCTAAGTATTATGCTCAACTGCATATACTAATACGCTCCGTTCTATATGCTTACTTATCTGGATGAAACAGAACGCTCTAAGGGTTTGCTAAAAAAAATATACTTTGCCCGGATTTTAAAATAGATATATTCTAACTGGACTGATATGGCTCAGAAAAATACTGAAATTTTCCGGAACGTACTCGGACTGGAAAATTCGAGCCAAACATCTCGAA